AATCCCCAGATTTCGCCATCTTGCAAGTTTTTTCTCTTTTCAAAAATCAAACTTAACTTGAAGGAACAAGATTCAAGCAGCTGCTTGTTATCTTTAAAAAAAAAAAAAAAAAAAAAAAAAAAGTTTCAGGAATGCTTCCATCAATTGAAACGACACTGGATAAAGTCTGTGGCTTCAGATTAAATGCCAAATTGATAGGTGTTGTTGTTATTTTTATCACACCATCCTTTTTGATCAGCCCTCGTATATACTGCAGAAAACGTTTAGTATTAAAATAAGGATTTTTGTCAGGAGACAGTTAATTCTGTTAATATAGAACTTATTAAAATTCAATGTTTGCCAATTGGAATATAGAAAGATTCTAATTTTGATTATGTCAAATACAAATTCATGTATTGCCCTTTGCCACCATGCTTACCTTCAAATTACTTTAAATCTTTCTATCGTAATTGTTAAAGAAAAAAAAAAATAGTAGTAAGTATGTTTATACTGTAGATCAGTGATTCTCAACCACTGTGCCATGGCACGTGAGTGTACCATGTGACCCTCTTATGTGTGCCATGGAATATTGTCGCAGCATACATGTGTGTGTGTGTAAGTAGTAATGGTACAGCATTAATATTTGAATAAATGAATTAAACTTTTTATCACACTTTAGCTAAAAAGGCTTTATCAGTTTTATTGCAATTTTCTACTTTTTATTTATGTGAATTAAGCGTCTCAACCCTGAATAACATCAAAAATAAAAAGCAAGAAAGACTACGCTCAACTGAATTAGGGTCTGCTTATCCAACTAAAGTTGAAATAAACAAGAAATTCTAAAAAAAAAAAAAAAAAAAAAAAAAAAACCCAAACCACCAGGCACAAGTTTCACACTAAATAAGCCGCACAAATAGTTGAATAGAAACATTAAAATAAAGTAAATTCATATTTGTTTATATCTTTTTTTTTTTTAAATCTATGGTTTTATTTCATCACATTGAATGAAATATATAGCCTTTAAAAATTTTGCTAAGTGTGCTGTGATATTTTCATTTGCTCCTAGACATGTCATTGCCTAAAAAGGTTGAGAAACATTGCTACATAGAGAGGGGAGGGATATTGAAAGTATATGAGAAGGTACTGAAAAGTTTTCAGCACAACCCAAAATTCAGAATTCTGATGTTTGATCATTAAAATATTGACTTTAAAGTCAGTCAGACCAAGAATTTTCAACATCATTCAAGATACAGATGCCTTTCTTTTTCTTTAACCAAATAGCAATTCGGTTTTCCAAACTTTCTCTTTGGACAAATATCTATATTCAACACATTTGATTTAAGCTCTGGTACATATACTTTTTGATATTAACAAACTCAGTAAAAACGTAGCATTTCCATGTATCCAATGAACAAAAGTTTCACCCCATCCAAACTTCTTTTTTTATTATTTTAAAGTTGAGACTTGTTTTCAAGGTAAAATTAAATTAAATCCCTTAGTGACCTACTAGTTTTCTGAAGTGTGAGGGGGGGGGGGGAAATTATCAAGAAAATTTATTAAGAAATATTTATTAGCTCAATTAGGAAAAATGGCTAAACAATTTTCTTTTTTTTTTTTTTGATAACTTTAAATTTTTGTCTCCATTGGGAGATGGAAAAAGAAATTTGTCATGTGTCCAACTCTATGTGCCATAGAAACCTTAACAAGAAAATACATGACAAACCAAAAGGGATCCCAGTTGCACTACTGTGTGTGTGTGTGGGGGGGGAGACCACTGCATATTTTACAGATTTTGTAAAAAATAATTTTTTTGGGAAAAGAGGATATACAAATCAGTACATAAAACAAAGATTTATGAGAATGAAACACTTCTAAATGAAACCTTATTCTGAGAAGGAACCTCTTCAGACTAATAAGGATTATCAACTCAGCCAGTGTGTGTGTGTGTGTGTGTGTGAGAAAGAGAGAGAGAGAAGAAGAGAGAGATGCTTGTTACAGTTTTACTTTGGAAACATTAAAAGAGAGAGAGAGACACACACACACACACACTGAATGTTTAGATCCAAATTATGGCATTGGGTTTATTTAAATGTTCAACTTGGAAGGTTTCATTCAACTTTTATTGCTGTTTTTTTAAAATCAAAGTAAAAATAAAAAAAAAAAAAAAAAAAAAAAATGAATGAAATTGGCCAAGTTAAACATGAAGGACGTCCCAATTTTAAGCCTAAAAGTTTGAGCAACTTTGTATCTGTCAGTAGTGTTTTTTGTATTCCTCTTGAAACCCTCTGTGTGTGTGTGTGTATATATATATATATATATATATATATATATATATATATATATATATAGATGATAAAATATAGTTTTAAGAGATGTTATACTTATGGGCTAAAGTAAGTGATAGAGCGTATATAAATATAAAAATGGACATTGAGGTCAACACCCTGAGGCGACAGTGTTTCATGCTAAATGCAATCATCAGGCATATATATATATATATATATATATATATATATATAAGCTATTTGTTTTTTGTATTTAACTCAATTTTTACAAATATATATCATTTTTTCCATAAATAAATGAACTTCTCCACTATGTTAATAGTAGGTTATAAATATTACAATAGTCAGTTTTCAATTTGTGCTTGATCATCACACACACACACGAAAAATAGTGAGGTTCAAATGTATGTTTATTAATAAACAGACACCTACATACATATATAAATAAATAACTGACCCTCTGAAAAAGTCCCTTCTTAGAAGGAAATGCCTCACTTAGGTATCTTTTAAAACGTAATTATTATCCAAATTGAATTTATATGTAGGGAAAGTAACTAATTATGGGGGAAAGGTTTTCAGGCAAACAAGAAAAATTCTAACATTGTCTCAGTTGTTAGACAAAATGAAGGTTAGGGCTTGAATGTCAGTAAGCATGCATATTTGTTGCTTTTCACTTTCATTCCTTTTTTAAATGGCTGTTATTGGGGTGGGGTAAAGAAAACATTAACTTGAGCGGGGTAGGAAGGCAGATTTTGTTTCTCGCAGAAGTGAGTGATTTCAATTGAAGTAATTAAAAAAAAAAAAAAATGTAAATCTAGAAAAAGAAAAAGTGCCAGTGTTAAAAGTGTTCAAATTAGCTAAGAGAAATCACAAAGCAGGATGTCTTGTTAATACAGTTTTCAAAAACCACCAACAGTGACAAGAAGAAAAAAAAAGAAAAAAAAAAAAAAAAGAGTTTTTGCCCAGAACCAGATACGCATTTCAATGAAGCAAGAAACCAGGTGCATGAAAATATTTAATATACTTTCAATTATAAAAGTGTTGTTTTTTTTTTCATCAATATACTGAAGAAATTTTTTTTTTTTTTTACAAGTATTTTGCTTATTGAAGAGCAGTAAATCTACATTGCAGCATTTACGGGCATTCTTGAGAGAAAAGAGAGAGGGGGAGAGAGGGAGGAGAGAGGGGGGAAAGAGAGGGAAGAGGGGGAAGAGAGAGGAAAGAGAGAGGGGGAAGAGAGAGGAAAGAGAGAGGGGAAGAGAGAGGAAAGAGAGAGGGGGGAAGAGAGAGGAAAGAGAGGGGGGGAAGAGAGGAAAGAGAGGGGGGAGAGGAAAGAGAGGGGGAGAGGAAAGAGAGAGGGGGGAGAGGAAAGAGAGAGGGGAGAGGAAAGAGAGGGGGGGAGGAAAGAGAGAGGGGGGGGAGGAAAGAGAGGGGGGAGAGGAAAGAGAGAGGGGGAGGAAAGAGAGAGGGGAGAGGAAAGAGAGGGGGGAGAGGAAAGAGAGAGGGGGAGAGGAAAGAGAGGGGGGAGAGAGGGGGAGAGGAAAGGGAGAGGGGGGAGAGGGAAGAGAGGGGGGAGAGGGAAGAGAGGGAAAAGAGAAAAAAAAAAAGAAGAGAGAGAGAAAAAGATTCACAAATGGATCTGTGATTGAACAGAATAGTGAGCAAGAGAATTAACTTTGACAGGCTTTTTTTTTTCTTTTGTGTATGTAGGAATTGATGAGAGGAGGAGGAGGAGGAGAAAGAGAGACAAACCATTCCGGTCAATACGTGTAAGGTTTGAAGACACAGAAATAACAAAGTCATGAAAGAAGCCAACACATGCACGCACTTTGCCCATGCACTCACGGACGCGGAACAAATCAAATTAAAAATTGTACAACGGACATGGGGGAAGAAAAATTATGATAATATTTTCAGAAGAATCATTGTGAGAAGACAGATTTTCAATAAAAAAATTTTTTTTTTTTTTCAAGTTATCACATTTTTTTTTAAATTATGAATAATTTTCACATTTCAAATTTTGTCTGTTTTATTTTTCAAAGGTTTTGTAATCATCATCATCATCAGTTAAGAAGAGCACTTTCAAGTCTGCTACAAGAAGGGAGGAGGAGCTCCTAGGCCTACCCACTCTCACCACTAGGGATACAATGCTGAGAAGAAATATCACCGTTTTTTTTTTTTTTTTTTTGAGTCATTAGGAACAACCAACTTTCTCAATTTGACTCTCTTTCATCCTCCTCGACATGTTCACTACTCAAATCTGTATGTAAACATGTCCGTGAGAATCTGTATTTACATGTATGAGTGTTTTGAGTTTTGTGTGTGTTAACACCCTTACACTACGTCTTCCACACAGACAACTATTATTGTCCCCCTACAGAAACACTTATTCTATTCAATACTGCTAGAATTCATGGCAGTAGTAATAGTAGTAGTAGTAGTAGTAATAGAGTTCAAAGGAGTGGCTAAAGCAATGCAGTCATAATAGTAAGGGTGGTGATGGTGGTGTTGGGTGGCAGCATTAGAAGAAAAGGGGGGGGAGAAAGAAAAAAATGAAAGGAGCAAAGGGTCATAGTCAAGCCAGAAATGAAGAGAGAAATCTGGTTTGCAGCCACAGCTGATCATCTTGTCATGATATTTATCAAAAGCAATTATTCTAATCAGTTGTATTGGTGATGTTTGTGGGTAGATGCTAGGGTGTCTGCAATTAGTTGTGTGCACACTTGTCAAAAAGTTCTATTCAGCCCAAGCAGCAAGTTCTGAAAGGTCACTGTCAATGTCTTCTTTATGCTTATCTTCCTTCCGACCTGAAACGACAAAATTACAATAAAGATTGGCACTTCATTGATTGGTTGGTTTTTTGTTTTATGGTTTTTTAGTTGGTTGATTTTGTTTAGTGGCATATCAACCTCTATGGGATATTTAATGCTGAATTTTAAATCTTTTGAACACAATTTTATGGCTTCAATTGAATATATTTACAGATAAAATGTATTGTTGGTAAATCTAAATACAAAAAAAATGTATTTTTTACACTTCCGTATTTGTTTGGGAGTTCACTATTTTCCCATAGCTAGGACCCTAACAGGTGCTACCACCCCAGGTCAGGGTGGACCTGGGAACAACAGCAATTAAGAGGTAATCCCACACTCCTCAAAACCTCCAATCTCCTGATCAGAAGTCTTGGTACCCGATGTAGTCATCATCATACCTAGGACTATTTCATGTTAAATTATAATGTGGATATAAAGTGGGGGATCAATTCTATATCTGTCACATTGTGGCCACAATAGTTTTTTTTAAATACTTATATTCCAGAGAATGTAAATAAATATAAAAAACATGCCTGTATAACTAATCAGTGATTGTTTTTTTATGGTTTATCAACTATTTGCAGGTTATTTAAAGCCAGAAAATATTTTTAGATTGTAAAAATTTTTTTGGAAATAATGATTTACTGATACAAGTCCTACTAATTATCCCATAGTTGGACTTGGAACATGGATTCACACTTTTTCCCAAAGGTTTTTGCACATAAGTGAATATAAAAACTTAACTGGCATTGGACCTATGCTCTCCGATTTCCAATTTTGAGCCATTATCTATTATGGCTACCTGCACATCCACACTTACAGCACCTGGTATTCTCAGGCAGTCACCCATTTAAGTACTCACCAGTATCTATGTTGCTTAACTCTGGTGACTGTATGGGAACCAATATTTCAACGCAATATGGCCGTAAGCCCCTGAGAGGGAGTAGTTGGGGAGTCTTGAAGCTGGGTGTTGAGAGCATGGCTTTCTGTTATTTTTGTTTTTTTTTTTTTTTTAAGTTGAAAGGATGTGGCAATTAAGGTGAATTGGGAGTCACGTCAAAATACACCCTCAACTGGAGACTGTCCGAGTGAACTGGGTTAATCAAACTCAAGGAGTTTCTAAGTCTGACTGACTGCAAAGCTACACAATTCTTTTACCATATGACAGTCATGCGTCTTTGTTTAGGCAGGACCAGAATTAATCTTACACAAAGCAAGGTGGGTCTTGCCTGACAGAGGATTTATCATTTGGCTGTGATGCATGAACTTGAGATACCTTCATCAGGTTGAGTGTCATAAGGGGTATATTGGGCTTTGTCTATTTGCACCTCAGCATCACTTTCTATGCATAACTGGAAAATTATATCACAGATTTAAAATTACAATATTTTAATTTTTATATGAACTTCAAATTTATTTTAAGAAGTTAAAATAACTTTTAGCAGACGTACGTGATGAAGATGCCATGTCAGGTTCAGCTGATGGTACGGACGGGAGCTGGTCTGTGACAGGAGCACCAACATTGAGCAATTCTCTTTCAAGTTCTTCTTGTTCAAGTTCTTCAAGTTCCTGCAGTAATTCATCCTGAAAGTCACAAAAAAAGATGTTCAGGTTAGAAATTTAAACAAGAAAGGATATGAAACAATGCAGTTTATTCTTTTAGAAAGAAATTTCCGGAATGGAAGAAAGGTAAACTCAAATTATAAATTCTTTGATCAACATAGAGAAGTCCCCTTAAGGAAAACCTTCAGAGAAAGCAATTTTATATTTATTGGAATCTTACATTATTTGGACTGTTATCCTCATCTTCATTGCCCTAATCACAACATTCCAGCTGTTGTACACTCCAGCCTTCTTTAGGTGATTAGAATTTCTAACCACTGGGGTAGATTGTTCTAGTTCCATGTGCCAGGCCTCTTCCGGATCTCTCAGTTATTTCCCTTTAACACAACTCTCCAAGTTTTGGTTCACCACTGCTGCAGCCTGGTATTGAACTCCCAACTCTGAGTCTAGTCAGTGGATAAAGGCATTGGTTAAATCCAGTAACTAGACCCAAAGATTTGGGAGTTCAATACCAGTAGGGAATGAAAGGGAAATAACATTCGGAAGATTTGGTTTGGTTTACAGCATATCAACCTCAATGGGTTATTTATTTTTCCTTCAAAAGCTCTATTTCTGGTAATATTTTTTCCTTCAATTTTCAAAAATGTATCGCTGGTAATAATTTTTCTTCAAAAATTTATTGCTGGTAGTAATTTCTTTTTTTTTTTTTTACAAAGTATTTCTTGTATTAAAATCTATTTTTACATTTTCATAGTGTTTTCACTCCAGTTTGGAAGGTTAACTATTTGCGCATAGGTGGGACCCTAACAGGTTCTACCACCCTGAGTCAGGGTGGAGCTGGGAACAACAGCAATTAAAAGGTGATTCCACACTCCTGAAAACCTCCTGATCAGAGGCTTTGCTGTTGGATGTAACATCTGGAAGAGGCATGGCACATGGAACTAAAACAATCTACCCTAGTGGACAAAATAAAGGGTGAATACCAGTGGAATCTATGTGGGGAAGAAGGGGGGAGAAAAGTGGCGGGGGGGGGAGAAAAAGGAGAGAGAGAAAGGGGGAAAAGGGAATGAGAGAGCATTGAGATGTCAAGATGAGATAATTCCGCATAAAACTAAGGGGGGGGGGAATAAATACAAAAAAAAAACATGCAAAATTACTTCATCAATGTCTTGACCAAAACCAACTGGATTGGAGATGGCTTCTGAGATCTCATTGGCTATTTCTTGTTGCTCAGCAACATCATCCATCAAGTCATGGACTTTGTCAATATCCCTAAAATCAAAAATGGAAAAAAGGTATTAATCACAAGAAAAACAGCATGAAACTAACATTAGAAGCTCATTACAATTTCTTTTTCATTTTAATTAATCAATGAATCACCTAAAAGAACATGCTTCATATAAAATCTTTTATAAACAGCAGAAATTGAGAAATGTTTTATTGCTTTATGAATATAAACATATTGCAAAAGAAACCAGCAAGCCATTGCACTATTCTACTTTGAATGCCACCATGAACCACAATTTTGAAATGGAGTGGAAGAGGTGACAAAAGTGGCTAAATGTGCTAACTAAATAAAACATATTTACTGGGTATATGCATTAAAAAAAAAAAAAAAAAAACAGTGAAATTAATATCTACCAACTTAAAAACTGGGAAGTATTAAAGTATTTGATTGATTCGTCTTTTATGGCTTATCAACCCTTTACAGGTTATTTAAAGCCAGAAAATATTTTTAGATTGTAAAAAAGTTTTTGTGATATTTTAGTGGTACAAGTCTTACTAATTAACCCATAGCTAGGAGGAAAAGGTGAATTCATACCTAATCAGAATATGATAAACATGAAATTATAATGTGGATATTAAGTGGGGATTCAATTCTATATTACAATCAAAATATAAGTTGATCACTCACTTTGTGGCCACAGTAGTTTCTATAGATTTATATTACAGTGAATGTAAATAAAGACATGCCTGTGTAACTAATCAGTATTTCATTGATTCATTCCTTGGAAAAGGAACTAATATTTGCCAGTTTGTGTTAGACAAAATGTGTTAATCATTATCTGTGGCTTGACTTGAACTAATTTGGTGAATTAAAGCAATTTTTTCTTTCAAACTGGCTTTTCTATGAGACAATGACATTGGATTGTATTTTTTTCTTTTAGTATATTAATTAGTGATAAAAGGATAAATTAAAAAGGATTTACATGTTGTTGTGAGCTGCCTTAATCGCTTTAGCAGATGCCCCCATGACATTAAGGACTTCGGTATTTGTGCTGGCATTGTCCAATGCTTCTCTCTGCAACTCTATAGTGGAAAGTGTACCATCAATTTGTTGCAGCTGTTTCTCAAATCTTTTTTTCCTCTTTAATGCAAGGAGTGCAGCTGAAATATCAAACAAATAAACAAATTATAAGAGGAGGCAACTTACGGGCGGCGTTCACAGGGAGGGAGGAGGCAACTTACGGGCGGCATTCACGAGGAGGGGGGGGTTGAAGCATTACAAGGACACATTTTTAAGAAAGATTTTTACAACAAATAATTAAATGATTAGTAACTATTTGTTTTGCATAAACACTTGACAGTCATACAATTTATGTTGATAGGTAACAAAATATCAAACAATGTTCATAAGATTTCAAAAAGTATAAAAAAGATCCTTTTTTGAATAGTACATGTTATTCAATATGCAGTGTCATAGAAACTTCATATTAAATTGCAGATTGGTGCACAATGCAGCTCTGACAAGAGAAACAATTCATTAGTTTAACTTAATTCATATATTACTATAAATGTTATTTTTAATGGGTACACATATTTGAGTATCTATATCCAGTTTTTTTCTTTATAGTGAAATTAATAACAACTATCTTAGATTTTAGTGTACCCAACCCAGTAAAAATAACATAGTAATGAAGAAATAATGGATAGAAAATCCATTAAAAACTAAAAAATCCTTTTACAGATATATTCTATCTGAAATTATATAATTTCTAAAGCATTAAAGGATTTTATTTAATCTGACATTTTTTTTACTTAAATGTTATTTTTAGAAATCACATTTAAATCATAAAATAACTTGATTAATAAATAAAATTTATTAATTCTTTTACAATCACTTTGTTTGCATCTTGCATAGAAAACTGAGCAGTTATGACTTTTAAAGAAATCTGAACAAGTGTGCTTCAAAGGCAAATGGAACCTTGACTGACTGTAAAGATCTTTGTGGCTGAGTGGTCAAAAGCACGTCAGACCAAATGATGGTTTCTCTTGGGTGAATCCTATTGGAGGGTCCACTTTTGACTAAAAATAACAATTTTATATATATGTGTGTGTGTGTGTGTTTTTGAGAGGGCCTATTTTTTTTTCTTTTAAGACCTGAACCACAACTTACTCATACAAGCTGATTATAGTGGTAAAGTTTTTTGTAGAACCAAGCACAACTTTTGGAAGGACCAAGTAGTGGGTTTGAAATTTTAAATGATGGGAAAAGCAATCTCACAAAAAAAAAAAAAAAAAAAAGATGTAAAATTTAAAAATACACACCTAGACACCTGTGTTTTGACATAACAAATGAACTCATCAAACAGGTGATTGTTATGAAATGCTACCAATGTCATTCTTTAGCCTTAGGAAACCTCATCAAAATCAGTTTAATTTTTAACAAGTGGCATAAACAAGATTTAAAAAAAAAAAAAAAAAAAAAAAAAAAAAAACTAATTTGGTTAAATTTTGGGAGAATGTTAGGCCAAGAACCTTTTATCACCTCTTTTCAACTACAAAAACAATTTCTCTAAATAGACACCATGACTAGCTATTCATTTTCACCAGCAATGAGTAACTTGCATTTCACAAGAGTTCAGTATCACCCATGGCTTGTCATACATGTCACGGTGTAACAGGGCATTGACCTTGTTTAAACTTTTGAATGCATGAAATAGCAGGTTGGTGATTTGGAGAGACTGTTAACTGGATAATGATTGTTGAAATTCACAGGAAAATGGGTTGAATAGTTGAGAAGAAAATTAAAAATAAAATGCATAAAAAATTACATTTTAAAATAATCAAATGAAATCAAAAACAGTTTGAAGATGTTGAGTGTGCATTTGCTGTGTCATTCTTCCCCGAACATGAAGTGGATGCTAGACATAAGGAAATGTCCTGCATTTTGGTGTGGGCCTAGAATTACTAAAGTTGTTGCTACAGAGCACATTTTCTACAATTTCCAGGCCACTACAAACACACTGAAAAATGTATGACAGTTTTTAGAAATGGCAATAAGTGATCATAACCGCAGCAATTATGATTATAAATTTTCTATGAAAAAAAGAATTGAGAAATGTCAACAAGCAGGCCATTATCCAAGTGGCTATGATTAGAAATCTCCCATGCATAACCGAAGAGTTGACTGGGCATCACTTTAATAGGTGCAACCAGAATTTACAAATCACCTCTCTTCAGTAGAGTATTTTGATTTGCAGTATAGATAATAGACATTTTATTCAACCAGTTTTCTTTATATTTAATAAACCTGTTAAAAAAAAAAAAAAAAAAAAAAAAAAAGACTTCTTCAATGAAATGCACAACACTATCAACAACCTGGTTCCAATGAGCACCCGGATGAAAGAGACAAAAATTTACCATGGCTATAGAGATTGTTGCATAATATTCAGTGGGGAATCTTTGACAGGAATTGCATAATCTTTAACAAGGTTGAGAAGTTTCTGCCTATAGTAAAACAAAGTATACAATGGGTTCATGCTAGACTTCACTGTCAATCCCAATAATGTAAGATTTTGAGAAACCCAAAACAACCCTATTGAGATGACACATTGTCTCGAACCAAGGAGGGAAAAGAAAGAAAGGTCAATATTAAGCAATGAAGCTAGCTACTTGTGAATAGAAGAAAAGAAAAAAAAAATGTCCATCTTTGGTAGGTGGGTTACAACAGTTGCTATTGTCAAAAATAAATGGGGATGACAAAATGAAATAGTGCTATTTAGTAAGTAGCAGTATTGTTTTTGTTTTCATTGATAAGAAAAAGGAAAGAAGAAAAAAAAAAAAAAAAAAAAAAAAAAAAGAAAAAAAAGAAAAGAAAAAAGAAAAAAAAGAAAAGAAAAAAGAAAAAAAAGAAAAGAAAAAAAAAAAAAAAAAAAAAAAAAAAAAGAAAAAAAAGAAAAAGAAAAAAGAAAAAAAAAAAAAAAAAGAAAAAAAAGAAAAGAAAAAAAGAAAAAAGAAAAGAAAAGAAAAAAGAAAAAAAAAGAAAAAAAAAGAAAAAAAGAAGAAAAAAAAGAAAAAGAAGAAAAAAAAAAGAAAAAAAGAAGAAAAATGAAAAAAGAAGAAAAATGAAAAAAAGAAAAAAAAAAAGAAGAAAAAAAAAAGAAAAAATGAAAAAAAGAAAATGAAAAATGAAAAAAAAAAAAAGAAAAATGAAAAAAAGAAGAAAAATGAAAAAAAGAAGAAAAATGAAAAAAAGAAGAAAAATGAAAAAAAGAAGAAAAATGAAAAAAAGAAGAAAAATGAAAAAAAGAAGAAAAATGAAAAAAAGAAGAAAAATGAAAAAAGAAGAAAAAATGAAAAAGAAGAAAAAAAAAAGAAAAAAATGAAAAAAAAAAAAAAAATGAAAAGAAGAAAAAATGAAAAAAAGAAAAAAATGAAAAGTAGAAAAAAAAAATGAAAAAAAATGTAAAAAAAAAAAAAAAGTGAAAAAAAAAATGAAAAAAAAGTAGAAAAAAAAAAAATGAAAAAAAAGTAGAAAAAAAAATGAAAAAAAGGGGCTGCCACAATGTTCCAGTAAGCAAAGACTTTCATCAACTCATTTGAGTCATAAACGTCTTTGCAATTGAAAATGCCAAGATTAATAATATTGCCAACACTTGTAATATGTATAAATAGTAATGACAAGACCAATAGCTAATCAGTTAAGCCTATTCTGGAAACCAATGTTTATTATTTGTTAACAATAATACATTTATCAAGCAATCTCTTTTAAAACATAACCATATGACAGGCAGCACTAAGAAAATGTCTAACTGGTGTTGTTCAGAGTCAAACTAGAGTTTGATTAATGACCTTTTGGATCATTTTTAATTGATAATATTTAATGTGTTACAATGGCAAAGAGGGCAATGGAGTTATCAGCCATGTTTAACCTTCGTGCCCACAAAAAAAGTGTTTTTTCCTTTGACATTGGTATTATTTTAACTAACTTCACTGTCTGGCAATGTTTGTTTAAAAAACTAAACACATGATGAAAGTGGAATTTTCTTTGCTCTTGAGAATTTATAACAAAAACATTAACCCTTTGAGCCCTGACCACCACTTTACCAATGTTAGAGTAAAATGACTTAATGCCCAGCCACCAATTGAACAGTGGGTAAACACTTGGTACTATTTTTATATCTACCGTGAAACATTGCATAAAAATTATTTGCAAATTTTGACTCGGGAGCTCAGGCAGAAGGGTTAAAAGTGTTCAGGAACGTAGGGGTCAAAGGGTTAAAAAGAAATAAAAAAAATATGTCTGAAAATGAAGCACAATTTATTGATTAGATCATTTACTTACAAGAATAATTTTATAGTTATAACAATCTAAAAGCTACAGTTGCAATACAATACAATGCAATATTTATCATTTACCAATTTATAAAGAAATAATTTTTTTTTTATTCATAAATAATTACTAAATTATTCAAATATGTGAGCCAAACTATAGTGCAACCTCAGTTCTCGAATGTATCACGTCAAACAAATCGGTTATCAAACAAAATTTCAGTTTTCAAACAACATTGTTAAACAGAGTTAACCCAAACGGAATCATTTCTTAGTTGACTGCCATGTTGTATACATTCGTGTATTGTACCGTGCTTTTCTTTTCCAATTTTATTGTACTGCGACTTTTTTTCTCTTCATTAGTCATCAGCCATGGCTCCAAAGAAAGCTAGCAGTGATACTGGTCAAGGAAAAAGAAAAGTTAAGAGAAAAACAATTGTTGATGTTATTGTACCTTCCTACTCAGTTTCATATGGCAAAAGTGACAATCTCTATACTATTCTTATAAATAAAAAGACAATCAGGTTTTTCCTTCTCCTTTTCCAAACAATAACATCAGTTTCCTTCCCCTTACGCCATCAACTCTCCTACGTCAGTAAAATTAAAATGTTCATCTATATTTTATCTTTACTATTGGGCTTATTTATTTATGTCTTAGATTTAATGATTTTCATTAGTTCTGTGCATAAACTTGTGCACAAAGTACTGTTAAAGTTTAAATAAGCAATCATCTTGGGACCAGGAACAGATTAATCTATTTTACATTGATTCATATTGGAAAAATAGTTTCGGTTTATGAACATTTTGGGTTACGAACAGGCTTCAGGAACGAA